TTACACACACACACACAAACATACGCATCTATTGATAGACAGACAGACACTGACATGTCTATCTCTGGCTGAGAGTTAGTGAAGACGTCAACAAGTCTAACGCAACTGTTATCTTATTTTTAATTTTCATTGTTAATTACTATTGGCGTTTTTATCATTATTATCATTATCCTTATTATTGTCATTATGATAACGGTAATAATAATGATATAATATTATTTCACAATAATAATAAAAGTAATAGTAATGATGATTTTATCATTAGTAATTGTTACTATTTTTCTTATTATCATCATTATCATCACTATTATCATTACTATTATAATTTTCATCAACTGTTATTATTATTTTCAATATTGTCATTTTCATTATCATTATAAATAATTATTATTATTTTCATTATTACCTTTATTGTCATTACTATTATTATTAACATTTTTATCATTTTCAATCTTATTGTTATTGTTTCTACTGTTATTATCAACATCATTATCATTATTAATTGTTATCATTACTATAATCATCATCTTTATCATCATTATCGTTATTGCTATTAACATTATCATTATCATTCATTATTATTATTACCATTATCATCATGAATATTATAATATCTATTATTATTATCATTATCATCATCGTTATCACTTTCATTACTGTTATCATCATCATTTTTATCAACTATCAATATCAATACATTTATTGCTATTATCATCATTAATTAATTAACAATCATCATCATTACACATTGATCATTCACCATTATCATAATCATCATCATTATAGTTGGTCATCACATTATCATAATTATCATCATTATAACTTTGATTAATCACCATTATCATAATCATCATCATTTATAACATCATCATTAATCTTTGATTATCCATATCATAAACATCATCACTTATAACTTGATCATCACCATTATCAATAATCATCATCATTATAACTTTGATCATCACCAATTATCATAAACATCATCTTTATAACTTTGATTAATCAAACCATTATCATAATCATCCATTAGACAATATCACAATAACTTTTGATTTATCACCATTATCAAAACATCATCACTATAACTTTGATCATCACCATTATCATAATCATCATCTTATAAACTTTGATCATCACCATTATCATAATCATCATCCATATAACTTTGATATCACCACGCTATCATAATCATCAATCTTAATAAATAACTTTGTTATTATGGCCCCATTATCATATCATCATCATATAACTTTGAATTCATCACCATTATAATCATCAATCATATATAACTTTGGATCATCAGCCGATTTATCATAATTCAAATCATCGATTATACTTTGATCATTCACCGATTATCATAATCATCATCATTATAGAACGTTTGATGCATCACCGATTATATAATCATCATAACGTAATATACTTTGATGCTGCACCTATTATCATAAATCATTCATCGATTAATAACTTTTGATGCATCTCCGCATTATCATAATGCATCAATCAAGTATAACCGTTTGGATGCCTGCACTCATTATCATAATCATCCTCATTATAAAACTTTGATCATCACGCATTATTCATAATCAATGCAATCTATTAATAACTTTGATGCATCACCATTATCATAAATCCAAAATCAAGAAAAAAATCCAATTATTAAAAAAAAAAAAAAACTTTGTTGGGAATTCATAATCCACCATTATCATAATCATCATCTATTTATAACTTTGATCATGCACGCAATTATCATAATCATCATCATTATAACTTTGATCATCACCATTATGATAATCATGCACCATTATCATCAATGCAATAACATTTCATATATAACGTTGATGTGCATCACCATTATCATAATATCAATCATTATAACTTTGATCATCACCATTATGATAATCATCATCATTATAATCTTTGATTCATCAACCACTATCATAATCATCATCATTATATACTTTGATCATCACATTATCATCATCATCACAATTATCAATAATCAATCATCGATTATACTACGTTGATCATGTCACTCATTTATCATAATGGCAAATCGACATACATGTATAACTTTTGATGCATGCCAACCAAATTAATACATAATCATTATTCATTATAACTTTGCTTATGCACCCATTATCTATAAATGCATCATCATTATAACATCATCATTAATAACTTTGATTATCACCCATTATCATATCATTCATCATTAGAACTTTGATCATCACCATTATCATTAATCATCATCATTATAACTTTGATCATCACCATTTATAATCATCACCAATACATCATACATTATCATAACATCATCATTATAACTTTGAATCATTCACCATTATCAATAAAATCATCATCAATTATATCACCATTGATCATATCATCCATTATCTCATAATCATCATCATCATTATAAACTTTGATCATCAACGCATTATCATAAGATCATCATCATTAATAACTTATCTATCACCATTATTCATAATATATTCTT